TCTTTCCCTTTCCCCACCCTCTCCCTTTTTTTTTTCTTGCCCAGACATCTCCTGCTGAGATCTCGCTCTTGGAGAGAGTACGCTGGACCCGCGGACTGCCAGAACTCGGTGCTACTCTCAGGTGTTTGAAGCGCATCGTTGCTTAGGTGAGCGAGACCCACAAATACGGCTAAAAAGCGTGTGGTTACTTATCACTGTGAATGAGAGACGAATATGCTCTTTGTGCGGAAGCACTTGTTCTCGACGTGCGTAAAAATCACTAGTAAAATATTAATTGTATTTTTGCTAATGTGGTAACTCGTGCTATTATAAATCATGGCATTCGGTTTTTGTTTAATTATTATTTTTAATAGTACCAGTTGAACAAATAGTATATTTTGCTCTATTACATATGTAATACAGTAGGATGAGTAATATCCTGTAGTATAAGAGTAATTTCCTATAGTAACTGACTGATCTTAACAACCACAGGGTTGCAAGAAGTCTTGTGTAATGACTCTTATGGTCTTATATGACTGTCTTTTAGTGTAGATTCTTGTATATATTTAAGTAACCCCAAATTTATTACATAGTAGGTAATAAGATTAAAAAAAATCAATCTTCCTTATAATTTTGAATGCGTTTCCATTATTCAATGATTTTTAACATATGGACTTACGTTTTATTTCAAATGGTTTTCTGGTCCTTCTGTTCCTCTTTCAAAATACACTCATCTTGTAACTCTGTTGTAAAACTGGTTTCCCTGTAGAGTATGCCTAGGTTGACTTTCTTTTTAAGGATTACAATTCTATCTATGTAGTATGTATGTGCTGTAAAGCTCTTTGCTAGGGAGGATAGGACGCAATTTTGTGATTCAAGACTTCCTGGAAGGGCATTCCCAGAAAATACTGACTTTTGCACGTAGCCTTAGTCAGTTCTGAAAAATAACAACGTATTAGTCATTCTTTAATTATAATTCTGTTACAGTATTGGCATTTGGTGATACATTTATCTATTTGTGAATTAAGGGGACATGTTGTGAAGTTTCATGAACTAGTTTAGGGGAATAGGTTAGAAAATGATGGATGACAGACTAGAATGCCTTAGGCTGCTGCCGACAAATGTGATGTTAAGGTCAGTAGGAGTTTAATGGAGGGGATGTTATGAATAAGATGCTTCTTATGGGGCTCAGATTTTAGGTGTATGACAGCTGGGGAGAACTTCAGAGAACTTCTGAGAGACAGAGGTAAAAGGGTAAAAAAACAAGTTCAGTACCAATTGTCACTGTGAGGATACAGAAGATAAGGACTAGTTTGTTAGCTGTGAGTCTTTCCTCTGGCCTGTGAGCCAGGCATTCCTCATACTGAAGAATAAAACTCACGTGCTCATGTGTGTGTGGATGGTAGGAAGCAATTAGTCGAGATTGCACTGTATGGTGATATTTGGCCATAAAAATAGCAGGTGTTCTTTTTGTTAGAGTTAGAAGTGCTGTACCGAAGCTAGATAGCTTTTTTTTTTTTTCTGGTTTTAATATTCATGACAGTATTATCTACTTGGAAGGTTTGTATCGCCTTTAATGACATTAGCTTTAGATATGGGACTACTCTGATGTAAATGGATATGTGACACATCTCTGCTGCATTTACATCTTGTTTTTAATACACTTCTAGATATAAGCACACATGGCTCCTGGTATCTCAAATGACAAGAAAACTGAAGATGAACAGTCTTCAAAGTAAGGTTCAAAAATCAATTAAATATTTTGTTCAAGTTTACACTTTTTCTGAAAACTCTAAAATCCTATACCATTCTTTATATGCTCATTTGATTTAGTGTAAACAGTGTGATACAAAAATCGAGTAGTGTAAGTAGATCTGTGCTGAAACAGTTGTTGAAATAACAATATAATTTAATGATAAGACTATTGCTAACCACAGTCCTTTAGCAGGTCACATATATTTAGCTGGGTATCTACTAGAAGCTCTTTTGACAAATTATCTGTGTTAACCATCCCAGCAGAAATGCCTCTTCTAGATAGCTATTTTGGTTTATCATATCTTATCATATCATAGTTTCTTTTAATTATTTTTATTCTTTTCAGTGGATTGATTAAATATTGACTTTGATTTCTACCTACAGCTAGATCCATCTGCTTCAAGATTTTGATCAAATATTTCAATCTGCTTGCCTCTTCCTGACTTCAGAATTTTTTCAACGAAACCACATGTATAGGATTATTCTCAGATATTAGTGTTCTGTATAAGTGAGAGCGCAGAAGTTGAAGGTGCTTTAACAATCATGCGAGTTGAATAAATGTGAATAAATTTTCTTATCCTGAGAGATACAGCCCGAGATCTTTATCAGGCAAACTTTGCCTTTACTGTAAATACATGGCATTGGTCCTATGTACACACAATAACTTGCTCGAGTCTTTTTTTTATTCATTTAACCCTAGGGTCCAAGTCTGCAATTAGACTTGGATTGGCAGATAACAAGTGCCAGTTAGTGACAGCACATAACTGCAATGAGACTGTAGGTTGAAGAGTGTTACTGGTAGTGTATGAGATGAAAAAGGCAAACTGTAGACACAACTGAGGAAGGAAACTGTATTTAGGCCAGGCATGAGGACAGAGGTGTTGGCAAATGGCATGCGAATCTCATTGTGCTCTTAATATGGGCCTCGCCTTTTTCCAGTTTATTTCCGTGTGTCCGGGAGAGAAGCTCTTTGTTGCTGGTATGCTCTTAAAGGAAGTGCTTTTTGCTTGCCAGAGAACAAATTGTAAAATGATTTCCAAGCATACCCCATTTGTATCTAAAAGCCATGCCAGTAAACATTAGCAGAGCCAGCTATTCGATCTGCATTAGTAACATTAAGTAGAGGTTGAGATTCCCACAAAATCCAATGAGAATTAATTCAGAGGATGCAGCCTGAGGATTCTGCTCACATGAGCTGGCAATCTCCTAGGCCAGCTGTACCCAGAGGGAAGAGCAAAGGCAACCAGAGCATTTGGTTCCAGCGCAGACAGGATTTGTAAAAAGGGAGGCAAATGGGAGATGAAAAGAATTTAAACTTGAAGGAGCAGACAAGTCACCTGCTTTGTTAGGCTGCTTTTTCAGTCACTCTTGCCTCAAATAGAAAATGTTTGTTAAATTGCATTCAGAGGAGTCTGGTCAAATCTTTCTTCCTTAGCTCCTCTTGCATCAGTAAGTTGCTTCTCCAGCAGAGACAATTGGCACCCTGGGATTCTCACATCACCAACCATTGCATGAAGTGTTCTGTGTGTGCCAAATCTAGACAAGTGATTTCTGCATTCAGCTCCTTCCCACCAGTGATTTAGTGCCCTTCTGTCTTTTCTTTACGTGTTTTTTTTTTGTTGTTGTTGTTTGTTTGTTTGTTTGTTTTGCTGTATTATCTCACTGTGCTTTGTATGTATCTGTAATATGAGCAAGGCTGAAAAAACACCTTTTTTAATATTAGGTTTCCAATAACCTGGTTATCGCATGGATCCAGACTACGGCATATGTAGGCAGCAACTAAGGTGGTGTAATCAGGAAGACAGTAGTCTTTGGTGAGCAGGGCCAAATAGAGTGGAATAGAAACCAAGTGCTTTGGTTGTGCTTTGGCTGCTGGGCAGCTAATGACATGAGAAAATTTGAGGAACAGAAGCACTTGATATACTCAGAATGTTGGCTTTGTAACTATTTTCTTTGTTTTTGAGGAACAAGTTAGTGGCCTCAGTTTGGGCATCTAGGCCTGTAATCTACAGGAAAGTACTGCCCTTCTGCTTAGGCACTAGAAGACAGGCAAGGTAACAAGTATTTAAAACAATACTAAACTCCTAAATTTGGGGTACAGAGTTGTTCCTGAAAAATATTAAACATTTATTTTTTGCATAAACTCCAGCAAATTGTTTCTTTTTTTTTTTCCTCTTCTGACGAAGCAGTTTGAATTTGCTGAGCCATAATGTGAATGCAGTCGGCCTTCATTAAGCTAATGCCATCTTTTTCCTGGAAGATACGGGTTTCATCTCTTGGAAACTACTTTGAAGTATTTGGTTTAGCTTGTGGCTTTTAACTAGTGATTCTTGCCTGTTTTGACTGAACTTCAGACACCAAGCACAGAAGGCAGTTTTATGAATCATTTTGCTTTCCATTTCCATCACTAAATTTTCCGTGAAGGTGATCCCACATGTTAAAAATAGTTTATCATTTTCTCATTACCTTGACATTTCCTGGTTCTTCAGAAAGACTTTGTTTTGACCTATCCCTTTCTGACAGTAAATAGCACAAGGAGTATTTCTAAACAGTCTGCTTTCATTTTATCTTTTTTCCCCCTTTTAGTTGCATTCTTTTCTGTGGTTTTCTCTTTGCTTCTGATGTCCATTTGCCTCTCTCGCCTAACATTTTTTTGAACATCTGTACTCTTGTTACTGTTTTTTTTTGCCATGCCAGATTTTTTCCTTCCTGGCTGGTTGACACTGAGATACAGATGGAGCCAAACTACCAGAAAATCCCTCTGCACCTGTGTTAAAAGCCCAACTCTTCCCACCCCTCAAGGTGCTAGGAGGATCAGTCAAAACCCGGCACAAGTTTTCTTTTTAACTCTGATAGGTTGTCTATGCTGTAAGGTGGTCTAATGAATATTCCATGAGCCTAATCCCATTGCTCTGCTCATCATAAATCCTCACCCTCTTTCAAACCATGATGTTATTAAAGGTCAAATTCATACTGTTGCAAATGCTTTCTATTAGCTGGTATTTATTCAGCAGTTTTATACTGGGAAGTGAATAGAACAGACAGTGCAAATTGTTTCAAGACTTAAGGTGGTTGTGGCATTTAGAATTTCCTTAACCTAATGCATAAGGAACCAAAATAAGGTAGTGCAGGCAGCCTGAAGTTGTTTTGTTTTCCAGATGTTGCTTTTTGGCTTTGCAAAAACGATGTCTGATTAATGTAGGTTTCTGTATATATTTAATATTTTCCATTATGCCATTCCAATAGAGAGAATTTTATTCATCTCTGCAACCCTCACCTCGAGAAAATGGAAGAAGACATCCTGTACCATTTTGCCCTTGGGACTGGTACCCATGATCTTCCTGCATTGTTTGGGGATGTAAAGGTAAGAAGCTTCAGTTCATTTAGCAAATCTAAGTCTTTCTGGAGCAGACGAAAGTGTAACTGTGTCCCAGATGAGATTGAACATGTTAGCACACCATCAGTTGAGGAATAAAGAAAAGGGGTAAGCTTTGGCAGTGTCTTACTTGTTGCTGTCAACAGCAAGCAGAATTAGGGATAATTGTATCTGATTTCGTCCTTTCATGCAATAAAAGACAAATGCTGCAATGTCTATTCAGGTAGAACTTCTTTTTGGGGAGGTCCTGAAGTCAGTATTAGGCTTTTACTACTTCCCTCTTAAACAGGGAGAAGGCCTTTGAGTGATCTGTGTATTTATTCCTTTTGAATAAGCCATGTTCTCCATTCTCTTTGTGGCCTTTTAGAGAGATCATGAGAAGCACAGTTGAGAACATCATTTTTTATTAAATTAAGGCCTTTGCGTGCTTGTGTTTACATTCACCTGCTTTTCAATATACCAAGTCAAGAGATCGATTGTGTTTTATGGTCTGCTCTTTGTCTCAGTTTGTGTGTGTTGGAGGAAGTCCTTCGCGGATGAAGACCTTTATCACTTACATAGCTGACGAGCTGGGACTTGGAAGCCCGGGCTCCGAGCATCCGAACATCTGTGCGGGAACCGACCGTTACGCCATGTACAAAGTGGGGCCTGTCCTGTCAGTCAGTGTAAGTGACCATTCTGAAAGCAGAATCATAATGTGAAGATGTTGTCCTACTACACATCAAGTGTACAATTTAGTTATGGTGTTTGAAGTAGATGATATGAACACACACTTCCTTTTAAGGCCTAATAGATAGAGTCAGCTTGTAAGTCTGTTGCAGCCATATTCGAAGTAGTCCATTCCAGTGCAAGCTGAGGTGGACTTGCACTTGCCAGACTTTGTGCTTAAACCATGATGTCTGTGTTTCAAACAAATTTAGCTCCAGTACAGTTACCAGCACTTCAGGTTGGTAAAATCAGAGTGGGGTGGTTCTTGAGTGTAAGAAGAGTTTTGTGATGAAGCACAGTTGCAAGCTATTAGGAAATGGCACTGCTTATGCTTTTTAGAATGTTAGTAATTTTAAAGTCATAATTTGTGGGAATAATGAACTTTATTCATAACCAATCAAAGTTGGTGGGAGTCTTTCTGTTTACCTGCAGCAGCCTTCCAACAGGCCCATGGGTTAGGCCTTGTATAGGAATCAGTTGAGTGACTTTTGGAAAAAAGTATCATGAAAGAGCTACTGTTTAACTCTTTCCATATTATTTTGTATTGTTTATGAATATTAAATATGGATTTCATTCTTTTCAGCATGGTATGGGCATTCCTTCTATTTCGATCATGTTGCATGAGCTGATCAAACTGTTACATCACGCGAAATGTTCCAATGTAACCATTATTCGCATTGGCACCTCTGGTGGAATAGGTATTTCCCTGCTTAATTCTCTTCTTCTTCAAACAAAAAATAATCTCTATAGGAGAGTAAAACATTTCTGTGGAACTAAGCGATTGATGGCCAGAACTGTTTTCCCTCCTCTTTGCTCATAGCAGTAAATTGTTTCAATACACTCAGCCCTGTATATTTTCCTATTTTTTCCTGGGTCTTAATTAGCCACCCACATAGAAGAATTAATTATTTCATTTCTTCCATAATTTTGCAACAAAAGGCAATCTCTGCCTCTCTAGAGAGACAAAATATGCTTGAGATTTGAAAAACTGAGGAGAAGGCCACTCCTGCCCTGTATTAAGGTGTTTTAGCTAAGAAGGAATATACAATGAAAATTTTTGTTTGTTTTCCAATAAAAATTTTATAAGCTGAAACAGCTCAGCATGCACAAAAAAAAAGCTTCTGGTGAATTCAGGTGCAAAACTCAATGGCGTTTTAACAGGAGCAGGCTTTTGGGTGATGGTATGTGTATTAATGCTTCATTTCTGCACGCACATAAACTATGTTATGTAGCTGTCTCTGTTTCTTCTTACTGCAGGTCTGGAGCCAGGGTCGGTAGTGATAACTAGGCAGTCTGTAGATGCCACCTTCAAGCCTCAGTTTGAACAGGTTATTCTGGGAAAGACTGTAATTAGGAGTACAGACCTAGATGAACAGCTAGCTAAGGAGCTGATGCAATGCAGTAAAGAAATCAATGAATTCAATACAGTCATTGGGAACACTATGTGCACTTTGGATTTCTATGAAGGTAGGTGGACTAACAGAAGTATTTTGGTAAGCATTAATGGTTACATACGGGCTTGGATTTTAACACTTAAGACTGTAGTCCACTGAGAAGTGTGAGTTCCCATCCCAAACTTTGTCTTATTACCCATAATTGAGCTATTTTTCAAGCTATTTAATATGAAGAATTGTGCTAAGCATTTTGCTCTACTGATTTTGCTCCATGATTTACTGCAGCAACCTACTAGATTAGAGGAATGAGAATTATTTGTGGCTGTCTTAATTTTTTTGTACTAGTTTAGAAACTACAGTAAATCTTTCAGAAAATGCACACCCGCACACAAACGTGCGCAGGCAGTACTTCCATCCAGCTTCATATTGGAAATGGTCTCTTACATTTTTCTTGTTTATGAATTTGATAGATAAAGCTGGAGAACACAAATGCTTGTGATTTGCATTGTAACAAATGCAGGTAATTCATAAAAGCTCTAGTGGTAGCTAAGAATCATTTTGTTCTATTTATTTTGCATGTGAAGACAAAGAGCAGTAGTAAAAGCTGGAAGCTGTATAAAGGAAGCAGCAATAATCAGGTGTTTTAGAAACTGAATTTGTTCTGTGATTTCGTCAATCTGAAAACTTCTATAAATTGGCTTTGTAGGACAAGGCCGGTTAGATGGTGCAATCTGCTTATACACTGAAGAAGAGAAACTGCAGTATTTGAGGGAAGCTTTTGATTCTGGAGTCCGAAACATTGAGATGGAATCATCTGTCTTTGCTGCAATATGTAATCTCAGTGGTGTTAAAGGTAAATTAACTTAAAGCCACTTTATTGAAGCTGTGGTGTTTTCTACAATACAGGCTCTACCATACCAAAAAGCAAAAAGAGATGATATGCCTTCTGTGTGTGTGTATGTGTCAGCTCAGGATTGCATCACTTGTCATATGTATTCAAAATTCATCTAAACTTCTTCATTTAATTCTTGTACAGTTTTAGTCCAGATCAGCTGCAATAACATAAACGTACCTAATTACCATATAGTGCTAATTTGTTTTCTTTAGTTAGTATTTACAAGAAACAACTAGTTAATTTAATCAGTCAGAAGATCACAGAATCATAGAATCACAGAATGCTTAAGGTTGGAAGGGACCTCTAGAGATCATCTAGTCCAACCCCCCTGCACACACAGGGTCACCTAGAGCACGTGGCACAGGACTGCGTCCAAGCGGATTTTGAAGATCTCCAGAGAAGGAGACTCCACAACCTCTCTGGGCAGCCTGTTCCAGTGCTCTGTCACCCGCACTCTTTAAGAAATTTTTCCTTAAGCTGCTGTGGAACTTTTGATGCTTTAGTTTCCGGCCGTTTCCTCTAGTTCTGTCGTATAGATATATGTGTGCGTATATATAGTATGTATACATGTGTATACACACACACACACTCACTCTATATAGTATGTATACATGTATATATATGTGAATGTATATATATGCATGTTAGATTATATATACACACACACACACATATTCATGAAAACATCCATTTGTCGTGACAAGCAGTTCTGATTGTGTTCTGTTGGTGGCCACCACTGAAAAGAGGCCAGCACCATCCTTCTCATTGCCTCCCTTGAGGTACTTACAGATGCTGATCAGGTCCCCGCTCAGCCTTCTCTTCTTCAGGCTGAACAGGCCCAGCTCTTTCAGTCTTTCTTCATAGGGCAGATGTTCCAGGCCCCTGATCATCCTCGTAGCCCTACACTCTAATCACTTTCTAAGCTTGCATATCAAATTAAAAAATGTATTTTATGTAGCCTTATGATTATAATTCTCACATAGTCAAAGTAATTAAGTAGTATTATGAAGAAGTTCCCCATAATGTATATAATTCCCTATAATGTTCCTCATAGTCTCTAACTTTCCTTGGCAAGACTTAGACAATGAACAAGATATTCAGTGAAAAATATTTGGAATATTAGGGCAGTCTGAGAAACGTGAAACACCTTCAGTTCCTACTGACTTAACTGAGAGTAATTAAAAACTCACCCCATTATATCACTATGTCCTTAGGGAGCATGCTCTCTTTTGCTATCTGCACATTGTAGGTCTGTAATATACATATGTGTGTGTGTGTGTATATAAAAATAATATTTGCAGAGTAATATATATAATATTATATACACTCTGCAAACTGTCACCAGATGCTTCAGATTTGAAAGGGAAGTGGAAGAGCTCAGTTTGAGTGAAAGGAAGGATTTTAGCTTTGGGGCTTTGACTATGTGAATGGCTGACAACCTGAGGATGGTCTAAGCGTTCTTCACTTACTTGCTCTCCTCAGCCTCTGTGAGTGGCAAAGCAGCTAATTTGTTGTGAACTCTGTCATTCAGGGTCCAACATAGAGGTTTGTTTGTATTGCAGAGACCAGTAACTGTCTGGTAGGACAGTGTTTATAATCATTTGTTTCCAGTTAGGATTTGGGATACTTGTGAAATATAATTCCTATTCAGGAAAAAAGCTGAAAATCAATGACATAATAAGGAATGTCTGCACATGCCTGAAAGCACTTGCTTTGTTAATGATTTTTCGCTTCCATTAAACTACTGGTAACTTTTCAGTATCATCCATTGCTGCTGTGTATTTTCTCCCACTTCCCCTCCCTGCCCCCCCTCCATATGTGCTAATATCCTGTCTGTTTGTTCAGGTTTGTGCTTCTGGATTGTAAGAGTACCAAAATGTCATTCCTAACTTAATACTGTCTTTCCCTTTCCAGCTGCAGTGGTGTGTGTCACTCTCCTGAATCGACTCAAAGGGGATCAGATTAGTAGCTCACATGATGTACTTGTGGAGTATCAACAAAGACCACAGAAATTAGTGGGTTATTTCATTAAGAAACGTCTCGGGAAAGTATGAAACGGTCATCTTTTGTTTCATAGGAGCAGAAGGCCGGTGTTTTTTCATAGCTGAGTCATGGTCACAAATCCTGTGCAATAAAGGTCATTTGCCTTAGAATAGCTTACAACACTCTATTTGTATGTGCAAGTTAATCATTTATATCAGTATACTCTGGGAACAGAATATCTTGAACAGACCTGAATTAAGATTAGCTTAGTTATGTGTAACGGGACTATAATGTTTTCACTTTTCTGTGGGTTGGAAAGTGGATCTGTTGTGAGGGACCTTCTTGCTGTAATGTATGAAAAAGCTTTGTTTAACCATGCTGTTAAGGAAAAGCTAAGGAAAAACAAGTTTTATGCTAAGTATTTTAGACTCCCAAATTAAAATTAAGTTAAAGTACATTCCTTTCTCTTTGTTTAAAAATATATAAGTTATTATAAATGCCTTTGCTTCACTTTGTAAAGAAAACTTACAGTGAATTCATTTTATTTTCTGCAAACTTGGTCAAATTGACAAATAAATAGTGCTATTTCCGTATATTTCATGAAATTTCAAAGTGTGTGACTGATTTTCCGAAGCATTAAGGACTTGACTCTGAGCTGTTGAATATCTGTGATTAGTTCTAGATACCAATCCAACACTGCTATTTGTATTACATTTCAAGTATGTGATTGAGTCAGTGCCCAGGGAACTTCAGCATATAAATAACTTTGCAATGTAGATTTTTAAATATCTTGCTGTATCAAGAAGAGGAACCAAAGGCACTCAGAGGAGATATACAGTATGTTCACAGGACTGCATAAGGGTGGCTCATTTTCTTATTATTTTGTTTCTTTTTTAATTTGTTTTTTGCCTCCCTTTTCAGAACATAACCCTTGAAGTGCTTCCTAGAACTGGGAAACACCTATTGACTGTACATGACACCACACCCATTACTGCTAATTTTTCCATTACCGATGGCTTAGTGGGTGTGTGTTTATTTTTATTATTATTATTATATTCCTAGCCACTTTTCTGTTGTGGGTAGAATATAAATATGTGCTCAGCTGAGAAAAACGCATTAACCTCTCTCTTCTGCAATGGATGGTCTAGCTCCCTTGGGAGTAACAGTATTTTTTAGACTCATAGTTTGCAGTACACGGACAACTTGTTACAACTGATCTAAGAGAGAGCGATCCAGTAGTAGGCCTATTCATCAAGAAGTAGCAGAAACTCCACAAGCAGCTTGCTGAAAATGTTAAAAATGTAAGGAACGATTCCTGGGGGTGGGAAACTGCCAAAGGGCATTAATCTCTGAAAATATGATGATCTTTAGACTGTGGGAAATAATGGGGGTGGATACTAGAAAAGATAAAAATACTTATTTTATATTTGGGCTATAAAATGCAGAGAGAATGTTCAGAGAATGTCTTTTTTTTCCCCCAAAGTTTAGGGAAGGAGTCCAGTGGGGTGGGCTCCGTATCTGAATGGTTTCTGTTTTATACATTAAAAAAAAAGCCTTTATCGAGACAGCAATGAAACATCTAATATGGTTGTATTGAGCTTTGGGGGAACATAGTGCAATAGCTATAAATTAGAGATACAGTCTGCTGTGAATTTTTTATAAAGGAGGAGTAGCAGGAATCTGGAACATGTGGTAAACAAAAAATCCCAAATCATGTAACCGTGTGTAACAATGGAAACTACAAAGTTTTTGTATCAGCAGTCATATAAAGCAGGTACTTCTCTCACACAATTCGTAAGCTCTCCTAGGAGAGATGTTACGTAATACATGAAGGAATATAACTCTCAGTGAGGTGTGGGCTAGTTGGAGCTAAGGTTCAAATAATTGGGGTGATTCTACAGAAATAAGTACACAAGACTAATTTTACAGTCCCCAGCAGAAATCTGTGGGAGACTTCAACCATTCACTTTCTTCTGATGTGTTTTCTCTCCTTCCTCTGGTCTTTATAGTAGTGTCCTTTTTTCTTTTCTTTTTTTTTTTTCTTTTTTTTTTTTGTGTGTTGCAGTATTTTTCTTCTGTGTTTACAAAAATTTGGAGCAAAGAAATGTATGACACCTTGAAGAGGAGGAGGTGGGGGGAAAGGATGCAAAGGAAATGGCGTATCCTGTGGTTTTCCATTAGTGGCCATCCTGAAATACTGTATTCCCCATACAAGAGGGTGCTTTATAAACACATCTTGCAATTGCGCTTCCGTCTAATTCCCCTAGGAGCAAAAAATAATTTTCTTTGTTTCAGAGGAAACTCTTACCATAATGTAACTTTGATAAGAACAACTGCACAGAGAGATAAAGATATGACTCAGCAGCACGCATCCACCATTAAAGTTACCTTCTTTTAGATTTTACAGATAGGCCTATAAGGAATTACAGAATATTTCACTGACTTTTATATGCAAATCAGTTCTTTAATATTAACTGTTCCCATTGTGTCTGTATTATATAGAAAACAAGGTCATGTAGGATGCAGGATATGAATCAGGGTTTGCAGTGTTGATACTGAGGGCACAGAGAACTTGCAGTGTATCATTGCTAATACATAGTGCAGCATCTCCTGGTCAGTTCACAAATTCTGCCAACTCCCGAAACCTCCATTTCAAATCCAAGGCTGACTTTTTCTCTTTTGTGCTGCTCCATACCCAGCAATACTTAACTGAATCAGTTTATTCCAGATATATGATGGGACAAAAGCAAGGGAGGAAGGTGGAAGATATAAATAGCATAGAATTGTAAAGGGGAAAAAAAATATTGGTTCTTACAAATGATCTGTTCTTCGATTATTTATCCTTTTCCAACCCGTTTCTACCTTTGTATTAAAGCCAAGGTTTAGGCAACACTGTAGATGTGTTAGAATAAAATAACTTCTGCTTCACATTTGCAATAGACCGAGAATGAGCAGTAACTTGATTAGTGTTTTTAAAAAGTGAGTATTTGTTTTTGATATCCGGATACACTTCAGAGAAAGGTCATCTTTAATAGAAGTTATGGAAAATCCTAAAAAATTAGCTCTCTGAAATGATCTGCTGCCAACAGTACTTAATTTAAAAGAGTTTATTACCTTTTAAAAAGCAAGCAAAATAATTCTTACCTGAGGATATTTTCAGTATTTCCTGAAAAGATAATAGTGCTTAATATGTAGTTTCTTTTTTTAACCTACCTCATAAGTAATTGAGATCAGTGTTATTTTATGGCTCTGACTTTAGAGGATTTTCTGTGCACTGTGTTATAAAACTGGGTATTTTTCCTCAAGTCCTGCTCGTTCTGAATATATTCTTAAACGAAGTGCACAAATAACTGAATTTTATAAAGTTGAAAAAAAGAGGTGTGCTTCCTTTCTACTGGTAAGGTAGGTGAAAGAAACTGAACAGTCCATGTTTTTAGATTGGTCCACAGTAGTCAGCTCTGCTCTGAATGTGTCTCGCAGGACTGGGAGCACCAAACTGGTAGCTTTGGAAGGTGAGTCTGCATACAACTGTACCAAATACCAACTAAAGCTCCACGTAGTTTAACGAGACCACTCCTGCTTGCAATACGATGTAGAAGTTCACTTTCATTCAAATTTTCTTAGTGTTTAATTTGGATTAACTTTGCTATATGCATTCTAAAAAAATTTTGGATTACTGTTATTTTTGTTCTTAATAAAGTAGCAAAGTAGCATATGAATTGAAACAGTCATTTACTCACTGTGTAACGAAGAGAAAGGAGGTCACTGAACAGAGCAATAGTGCTGACAGGGGCGATGCTTCTGTTCAGGCTCCAAACAAAACGCACAGGCAGAAAAAGGCAGACCAAGCCGGCTCTGTGTGAGACAGAAACCTGATTCCAGATGCTTCTTGTCAGTTCTGAACATGTAACTGTGAGAAAAATTTTGGAAGCCTACAACCCACCTGGCGTATCACAAGAATAAAATTCTTACAACTCCTCAGAAGCTCAAGCCAGCCACTGTCTTGTTTGGGAGATTGGCAGGGTTTGCTTCTCTAACCTGCGCTTCCTTTTCAAAGCACCCTATTACGTGACCATGCCCATGTCTAACATTTCTTGGCCTCAGCTTTACAGATAGGAAAGGTGCGGCTAATCGGTGGCATCCTTGAGGTGATTGGCCTCCAAAACAGGTCTATAAGCTCTAAATGCTTAGAAGCAGGACTCCTAGCCATGTTTAAAGCAAAACTTGTGATCACAAAGTAAACGTTGTGAAACAAATTGAGGGTGGCGGTAGGGAAATACATCAGTTGACCAGATTCCCAGCCATGCTGTCAGCACCACCAGGCTGCATTCCT